TGATGACGAAAGGCGCAACAGCGGGCGCGGCCTCGAACTGCTTGGAGTGCGAAAGCCCTATCCTGCCCACCCCACCTGCGGCGCTGATTGAAAGCAGAAAATAATAAATCAATGGCGACAACACAGGCATGCATGAACTCACTCGCTTTAGGGGTGTGCTCAAGAGACGGCCAGAGATGGGGAAGAAAATTACACGGCACAACATATCCCCACTCCAGAGGGAGCGAGGGGAGGAGCTCCCTCAGGAGGGGGACCACAACAGGACAAGCGACATAGTGAAAGATATTGTCGGCCCCTAAATTGCAGCACCCAAAAACACAAGGCCCAGTGGCCTGTCTGAAACGCTTCGTAGTTGGCCAAGCATTGAGCACGGTTTTTAGAAGGGATGTAATCATAAAGCTGGGCAGCCTCCCAGCTAGAATATTAAGCCTCAGAACCGTCAGTTGAGCACCATGGGGCGCAGCATGTGGTAGCCAATAGCGAAAAAGAGCAAGGACAAGATGATTGATGAAGTGATGGGGCTGACGTCGAACAATAAACTTCGCGATCATACTCTGCAGCTTTTTCGGGGGCACGTGGATCGGGGCATCAGGGATTCTGATGCACTGGCTATACTCGATAAGCATGTTCCAGAAGATAGAATTCAGGAAGTGCGGGTTCCACTTACATGTAAGGGTCCTGTTGTCGTCTTCCTGGGCAGCATAATACATGGAGCGCATAGCACGGAACTCTTCCGAGCGGATGGCACAGCGTAGCATGGACGCACGACAGAGGGTTTCCATAGAGCGGCACTGCACAGGAATACCTAATTCTTTGATATGGAACATGGCCTTGGGAGGAAATGCACACCGCGGCGCACGAGGAAGCTTTTGGCGCGCCTCTCGGTCAGCACGACCGAGTTCCTTAGACGGCAGGTAGAACTGCCCAACGTGCGATGTGACAGGGACGACGTAGGTGTTGAAAGCCTGCGCGGACTGGATGAAACTCAGCCCCAGGCACTGCGCGTCCTCTGTTCTGCTCGTGATTTTCTCTGCAGCAGGCTGCCAGGCGTCAAGAAAACCTTGCCCACCGACCAGAACTCCCAGGAGTTTGCCAGACATCTGACTCTGATAACGCGGAGCATCAAGTCCCCGACCACGGAAAGCCTCCAGGACATCCTTTTTCTTCTCCACATTCAAAACAACAATGGCACATTTCTTATAGTTCAGCGTGAGCCCAGTTACCTTACCTGACAGCACAAGCCTTACCAACACCCGCGGCAAGGTCTTGCAGAGGTTGCATGCGACTAGGTAAATGTCATCGGCGAAGGCGCCGATCTGAAATACGAGACGCCCCTGCAGCTGCAATACGTAGCGGAGCACTGGATCCAGCACAAGCGCGAAGAGCACACCACTGAGTGGACATCCCTGTTTCATCCCACGAAATGAATAGAAACCATGCCTCCCTCCACCCCAGACTACTGAAGTCCATATATCGACATGTAGTTCCTCTATCACATTGATGAGATAGGGTGGTAATTTCATACGCATCAGTACGCAATTGATCCAGCTGCAAAAAACACTCGGGAAGGCGTTCTTAAAATCGAAGAGCGTGAAGCCGCACTCCGTGTGCCTATAGACGGTGCCCCAAAGCGTGAGCAGTCCATCCATATTGATGACATTGTCATTCATCATCCTCCCCTTGACGAACCCCCGCTGGACGGCGTGGCAGGTTTCAGCAGCGACATGATTTAATGCCGAAGCGATGGCGGAGCTGAGGAGCTTGTTATCGGCATTCGATAGCGATAGCGGTCGAACGACATGAGGATCACGAGCCTCCCCCCCCCCCCCCTCCCTGGACAACATCACCTTTAGGCAAAAATACAGCCCTGCAATGGTTAAAGCTGGGGGCGACCCTGCCACCAGAAAGGGCGCGGCAATACAGGGCATAAAGCGCAGGACGCGTCGTTTTACCTGTCCTTTGCCAGGCGGAATAGGGGGCACCATCGGGGCCCGTGGCCGTGTCACGCTTGAAATCGATCAAGCCGTTGAAGTGCTCCTCGGCCAGGACCCAGTCGAATGTCTGGTGGCTACTGGTGACATATTGGGGCCCCGTGCTGTCTACCTCGTGGATGTGCTGAAATAGAACATGCTCAGACCCAAGACAACCTTCATCTTCATTGTCAAAAACATGGCCCCAGCGGTCAGCAAGAAGCCTAGCAGCCTCTTCAGAGTCAGTATGAACCTCTCCCTGAGGTCCTCGAATACCAACAAGCTTAATACGAGGCCGCCGTGCAGCCCATGCAGCAGAGAGACGCTTGACTCGTCGAATGGCCTGCTCAGCAGCTTCCGAACCTAGCTCATTGTTCTCACGCACTTCCCTCTCCTCCTCCTGGTACTCCTCGCGCATCATGGCACTGAGATGCTCATGAAATCGCCCTTGATCGAGCCAGGTCATTGTCTCGGGGTAAAACAAAAAGAAAAATAGACGGTGCCTGTAGCCCAGGCAAGCACGCCGAGCATGATAGAAGCTGCCAGATCGCGCAGCACGGACAAGCTTGAGACAGCAGGCTGCCTTCTCTGACCTCGCGCGTGCGCCTGAGATCTCGGCATGCCTCCGAGTGTGGCCAGCAGCAATGTGGAATATCTCTTTAACTTCCTGCACTGCTGTGGGGGGATGCGGCGAAAGCTCAGTGGTAGCGATAAGGCCCTCGACAAACTCACCGAACTGCGGATGCTTGGCCACCCGCGGGGGAATAGAGCCATGACCTGTCACTGCAGGCCGCGGAGCATGCAGGCAAAGAAAAACTGGAACGTGGTCAGAGGGCTTGCCCCTGTCAGTAACCTCCCAGAGGACTCCAGTGTTAGGACGATAGTCTAGTAGCGTTTCAGTGTCAGTGCTGCAATAGATGCGATCGAGACGAGCGTAGGTCAGCTTATTGCGTATGAAGGCACGATGAGTATAGGCTGGTTGTTCGACTTCGGAGTATTGAGGAAAGAGATAATCAAATATTGTAGCTCAACGAGATGGCGATGTCTTAGGAACAGGTGGTTCAAGATAGTGTCTGCATTCTCCATGGTCATGGAAAGTAAAGCCCCTAGCAGGATACTCATAGCCTGGAACTGCGGGAGCCAGGAACGAGAAGAGAATGGAGAATACCGCGTGTTGCTCGTTCAGACCACTCAGGACCCAGATGGGCACTCGTAACCTGCAGTACACCTTTCGGGCCCTGAAGAGTAAGCGTGAGAATACGACCTGCCGCGAGCGCGTGCGAATCTATCTTCGCGAACAGCTCGGCGAGCTCTTCCCTGACCAGCAGCGCTGTACCTCCAACATGGGCCTCCTGAGTGAAGGAACCGAAGGCCCGGAATCTCGGAAAGTCGCGGGTCAGAGTCTCAAGGCCCCCTTCCTGACCATGGGTCCCCTGTGCAACAATTACATCAATCTTCCGTGCAATGCTGGCCAGAGCCTTAAATTTAGACGCACCGTGCTTGTGGGAGGCAGAAATGGAGTGGAACAGGGTCTGGGCATTCCAGGTGCTTACTCGAAGCGGCTGCGCAAGCAAGACTGGTTTTGTGGACGCTTCTGGTCCACTCGAATCTGTGCTATCTACTGCACTCCATGCTGAGCTGGAACTTTGCGTCGAGGGGGTAGCCGAGGGACAGGTACTGGCCGAAAGAGTAGCGCATGAGTCTCCGACTACGCTGGTAGTGCCTTCATGCTCCCAAAAAAAATGGCCATGATTGTCATCGACGTTCGACGAGTATGCCAGCTGCTCATCCTAGATGTAGGCGGCTTTGTTCTGAACATCTTCCATGATCCTGTTCAGCTTGTCGATGTCCAGGGAGAAGAAAGAGACGGTGTCTTGATCGATGTCGAACGTGAACGACGCATGGTTGACGTCCGAACAGCTGACCAGCGGCCAAACATCATTTCCATCTGACCAATGAACCGTGCCCTTGTACCCGTTGATGATGGGCTTCGAACCTGCAGTGTACCGAGGGCTGGCTCCGAAGAGCTCGATGATGGGGTCCCATACCTTTCTGAGCGCCCTCTGTGTGGTCCTGACATCTTTCGGCAGGTCGGATCTGGCCTTCATGTAGTGCATCGATCCATCTCGCGGATCCATCCACTGGTTGTCCGAATTGTTGAAGACCTCCGTGAACTCCTTCGCCATGGCTTCGCTGGAAAAGGTGAGCGAGTAGCTCTGGCTGATGCAATGGTACTGCGGCGTGACACTGTTCAGCATGACCGGCGTCAAGATGTTGTCCTTCCAAGATGCAAAATGTGCTTGTCTCATGCTTGCTAATACCGCACGAGGGAATGTGCCGATCCAGCGTCGACACTTGTCATATTGATATTATCTCGAATTGTGCCAATTGGGTGATGCATTCTCTGATGCTGACGTGCGCTGGACTTTGGCAGCTGGCTCAGTAAGACGACTGGCCCACGTACTACCATCTGCAGATCCGCCAGCAGAGTTTGTTGCTGAGGTCGATGCTTCTTGCTGAAGACGAGCAATGGCGGCACTATGTTCCTGTAGCGTTTCACGAATCTGGACTAGGTGATGTGTCTGCGCCGTCATGCCAGCGTTCTGCTCGGCTATCTTCTGCTCCAGCCCCTGGGACACTTGCGCGAACTGCGCGGGGAAGGTCTGCGTGAGCGTGGTACCCAGCGACTCTATCTGCGCTTTCACGGAGACCTCAAGGGCAGCCTGGACTTGCCTCGCGATCTCCTCAGCCATGGCAAAAACTGGACTGGAATGAGAAAAGATGGGGTTGTGTCCGCTCGGGCTCGCACCAGAATTGCCCTCTGAAGAGAGCTGCCCACTCAATGAGATGTGAAAGTATGTACTCCCCAGTACCCACCACACCCGCCTTCCTTGAGCCAAAATGGCAACGGAGGCTGAGGAGGAGGAGGAGGAGGAGGAGGAGGAGGGGGAGGAGGAGGAGGAGGAGGAGGAGGAGGAGGCGGAGGAGGAGGAGGAGGAGGGCGGGCTCGCTGGGCGGGCTGGGCCTGGCCTTCTTCTCCAGCTGCGCCTCCAGCTCCACGCTGCTGGCGGGGCCGCTCCGCCCGTGCAGCCCGGGCCGGAGGGAGGGAGGCTTCAGGAGTGCCACCAGCCTTAGGTCGGGCGTGTCCTCCCACATGGGGGGTGTGAGCGGAAAAAAAATACCCAGCAATTCTCAAACACGTTCAAAAATACTCTCAAAATCGTCCCCCGACTACTCCTCTTGTAGAGGGACCGGCCCGACTTAACACCAGCCCTTTAGGGCGTGAGTGGTTTGGTGCGCTTTCTCTTCAGACCCGTCTTCTTCCACTTGGGGGAGAGGTTTGCCCCTCCCCCTCCACTCTCCCCCTGGGTCTGGAGGGGGCGTTCCGAGAGGGGTTGGAGCGTCCAAGACGGCCTCGGCGAGGAAGCCCAGCTCATCGATTTTAGAATAGCCGTGGCCACATGTTGGCCTTGTTCTAAGGGGGGCAAGTTGAGGAGCTCCCCTCCTTTGATCGATCTCTTCCAAGATAGCACCAACATGCCCCCGAGGCTCTCAAGGGTGCTCCAAGAGGGCCCAAAGAGGTGCCCAGGAGGCCCCAAGAGGCCCCCAAATTGGCCCCAAGAGCTTTCCTAACAAACCCAAGACGCCGCAACAGACCCCCCAGAGGCACGCAAAACGCCCTAAGAGGCCTCGGCGAGAAGGCCGAAATCCGCCGACCCCTTGGGGATCACCGGCGTGTGAGATGCTTCCCCCTCCCCAAACCCCTCCCCCGGGAGCCCGGTCCGGTCGATTTGGACGGGGGGGGGGGGTCCGGCACGAGCGCAGCACGGCCGGGACGAGCGGTTCACGGGGCTTTTCCGGGCCCAAGAGGGCCTCAAGACGGGCCAAGAAGCCCCCAAGAGGCCTCCAAGACGGCCCACGAAGGCCCCGAGACGCCAAACGACCGCTCCAAGACGCCCAAGATGGCCCCAAGACGGGCCAAGAGGTCTCCAAGACGGCCCCCGAGGTCCCAAACAAGCCTCCCAAGAGGGCCCCAAGAGTCTAAAATTGTTGATTTTCCATAGTGTTTTTCTATGTTTTTTGCTTTTCCGCCTTTTCGGCTTCCCGACGCTCCAAGACGGCCAAAGAGGCCCCAAAGACAGCCCCAAGATGGCCCAAGAGGCCCCCAAGACGGCCTCCAGACGGCCCAAGACGGCCCCAACACGGCCCAAGAGGTCCCCAAGACGGCCCAAGAGGGCTCCAAGACGGCACCAAGAGGGGCCCAAGAGGGCGACCAAACATGTTGAAACTCTAGCTTTCTGCCCCCAGGAGCCCCAGGGGGCCCCAAGAGTGCCCCAAGAGGCCCCCAGAGGCCCTCACGAGGCCGCCCAGACGCCCCAAGGAACCCCCAAGAAGCACCCCAGAGGCTCCGAAACGGCCCCCAAGTGGCTCCAAAACTCGCGGTGTCGCCGTCCGCTCGGACCCCCCCGCGGAACTGCCCGAGACCCTCTGGCGGCGGCGGCGAACAGACACCAAACAAATATCACTCGCCTTTTCACCCCTTCGCAGCTTCTACTACCCCCAGATTGGCATAAACAAGGGGTCGGCGGTGTGGCGTAAGCCTAAGAATCATTGAGTTTAGCATGATGATTGGCCACATGTGTGGCCTCTTGGCCCCAACGAGGCCCCCCGGAGGCACGCAAGACGCCCCAAGAGGCCTCGGAGAAGGCCAGCATCGGAGAAGACTGTGCCTCCTGGGGACGGAGCCCGAAGTGAGGGGCCCCCTCCTTCGATCGATCTCCTCCAAGACAATCCGAGCATGCCGCCCAGAAGCTTCCAAGGGTGCCCCACCACGGCCACAAGAGGTGCCCAGGAGGCTCCCAAAAGGCCCCCACGATGCCCTTCATATCCGCTCAAGGGGCTCTCAAAAGACCCCCAAGAGGCCTTCGGGACTGCCAGGCGACCTCCCAACCACCCCAAGATGACTCCAAGAAGCTTGTTGAAGACACCCGAAAAGACGCCGAGAGACATCAGGAAGCCTTTGGCCTTTCAGCTCGTCCTCCTCCTCCTTCCCCTCCTCTTCCTCCTCTTTCTCATCCGCCTGTTCCTCCTCCTTCCTCCTCCCTCCTCCCCCTCCCCCCCTCCTCTTCCTCCGAGTCCTCCTCCCCCCCCCCCCTGGCGCGCCTTCGAACGCATGCTGGTGTCAGGATGCAGGTGGGGGACTGCGTCATTGCAGGGACAGCGAGCGACCACAACCGCATGGAGAACTCACCGTGGGGGATGCCCTGCACAGGCCAACAATCGTCTGAACACCGAAGCAAGCTTAGTGCTGGTTGTGGTCGATGTAGCGCCCCGGGACGACCGAATCGACCACAACCACAACCGAGGTGTCCATGTCGAGGTCGGTGGGTTCTTCCCCGAGGGGCACTCCCGAAAAATCCACTTAGTTGTGGTTGTGGCTCTCGGTTGTGTCAGGAGTCTGGGCGGTTGGGGAAGCAGCTCTGAACGAAGAAAGAATGGCATGAACCTGGACTTTCGAAGCACCGCGGGGAGTTTTTGATCGGCGCCTGGAGTCCCCTGGAGGCGCCTCCGGCGCCGCCCTTGACGAGCTCCGCGCGATGGGGAGAGAGTGCCCAGCGCCGATCCAAGAAAGACGCGCTGACCTCCCACAGTTCATGTGTTTGTTGCTGTGTGTTTGTTGCTGTTTTTCTTTGCTGTTTGTTTGTTTGCTTGTTCTCATGACTCATGTTTATGCTGTTGTTTGTTCGTCCAGTCCTGGAGGTTGGAAGGCAACTGCTGGCAGATCTTCGTCAGAACGATTGCAGTGGTTATGGAGCCCGATCAGGGGCCACCAGGCCAAGGATCAACCCGTATCATAAGCTACTAAGCCAACTTGAGCCCATCGGAGCCCAGAATCGAGCCCGACTAGGCCACATCACACGGAAGAGATCTGGACTCGACCGGATTAGACTCGTTTTCAAGCCCGGCTTTACCAGCGCCGATGCCGAATCCAGCCACCCAGGAGTGGCCTGAGCATTTTCTTAAGGTGGAGGGCTCAGGGTGAAATCCATGTGGGCTCTCAGGGCTCAACCTGAACAGTGTTTTCTGTTCACGTTTCGTTTTCGTTTGAAAGCGAAATTTGAGCGAAAACGCCGGCCGGCGTCGCGCGGGCCGTTCTGGAACAAAACAGCGGGTGAACAAAACAGCGGCCCCCGAGCAGCCGAAAACGAAACGCATAACAGAACTGTGGCACGGTCGCGGGCCACCAACGAAACGGAAAAAACTAAACGAGCGAGCGCCAAGGAACAACGACGACGACGACGAGTCAAGTGAAGGTTTAAGCAGCGAGAGCGCGAGTAACAATTTAGGGGGAGATCTAGATAAATATCTAATCCGCTAGGGAGCGAGTGACGAGTTAGGTGGAGATCCCAGCACAACCCCCCAGCACACACTCGCACGGCACGACCCCCAACACAACACCCCTCCGCACAACCCCCCTCCGCAAAATCCCTCAGCACACACACACACACACACACACACCCAGCACTACCCCCAACACAAACCTCCAGCGCAATCACCCAGCACAAACCCCAAGCACAACCCTCCCCCCCAGCAGAACTCCTCAGCACAACCCCCCCAGCACAACCCCACCCCCTCCCAGCACGACCCCCCAGCACAACCCCCCAGCACAACCCCCTGGCACAACCCCCTGGCACAACCCCCCCCCAGCACAACCCCCCAGCACAACCCCCAGCACAACCCCCAGCACAATCCCCCAGCACAACCCCCAAGCACAACCCTCCAGCACAACTCCCAGCACAACCCCCTGGCACAACCCCCAGCACAACCCCCCGCACAACCCCCCAGCACAACCCCCCCAGCACAACCCCCGCACATACCCCAGCACATCCCCCCAGCACAACCCCCTGGCACAACATGCCAGCACAACCCCTAGAGAGGGCCAATTTAGAGTCTGGAGGTTGTGCTGGAGGTTGTGCTGGAGGTTGTGCTGGAGGTTGTGCTGGAGGTTGTGCTGGAGGTTGTGCTGGAGGTTGTGCTGGAGGTTGTGCTGGAGGTTGCGCTGGAGGTCGTGCTGGAGGTTGTGCTGGAGGTTGTGCTGGAGGTTGTGCTGGAGGCTGTGCGGGGTGTTGTGCTGGAGGTTGTGCTGGAGGTTGGGCTGGAGGTTGTGCTGGAGGTTGTGCTGGAGGTTGTGCTGGAGGATGTGCTGGAGGTTGTGCTGGAGGTTGTGGTGAAGGTTGTGCTGGAGATTGTGCTGGAGGTTGCGCTGGAGGTTGTGAGTGTGCTGGAGGTTGTGCTGGAGGTTGGGCTGAAGGTTGTACTGGCAATTGCGCTGGAGGTTGTGCGGGAGGTTGTGCTACAGGTTGTGCTGGAGGTTGTGCTGGAGGTTGTGCTGGAGGTTGTGCTGGAGGTTGTGATGGAGGTTGTGCTGGAAGTTGTGCTGGAGGTTGTGCTGGAGGTTGTGCTGGAGGTTGTGCTGGAGGTCGTGCTGGAGGTTGTGCTGGAGGTCGAGTTGGAGGTTGTGCAGGAGGTTGTGCTGGAGGCTGTGCTGGAGGTTGTGCAGGAGGTTGTGCTGGAGGTTGTGCTTGAGGTTGTGCTGGAGGTTGTGCTGGAGGTTGCGATTGTGCAGGAGGTTGTTCTGGAGGTTGTGCTGGAGGTTGAATGGCGGTTGTGCTTGAGATTGTGCTGGAGGTTGTGCTGGAGGTTGTGCTGGAGGTTGTGCTGGAGGTTGCGGGAGGTTGTGCTGGAGGTTGTGCGTGGAGGTTGTGCTGGAGGTTGTGCTGGAGGTTGTGCTGGAGGTTGTGCTGGAGGTTGTGCTGGAGAGGTGCGGGGGGTTGTGCTGGGGAGGGTTGTGCTGGGGAGGGTTGTGCTGGAGGTTGTGCTGGAGGTTGTGCTGGAGGTTGTGCTGGAGGTTGTGCTGGAGGTTGTGCTGGAGGTTGTGCGGGAGGTTGTGCTGGAGCTTGTGCTGGGGGGTTGTGCTGGAGGTTGTGCTGGAGGTTGTGCTGGAGGTTGTGCTGGAGGTTGAGCTGGAGGCTGTGCGGGAGGTTGTGCTGGAGGTCGTGCTGG